TGCCTGATGGGAGGCGAGCATACAGCAGTGGTGCCTGATGGGAGGCGAGCATACAGCAGTAGTGCTGTCATCATGACGGTGCATTAGTCGACAGCGTTGCGGCCGAAGATAGAGAGCAAAGTGGTAACATTTCAAGTGTTCAAGATTTTATGGATGTTGAAAACCTGCTTTTTGGATCGTGACTTTGGAAAATTTTTGGAAAGCTCCCAGGACGCCCCTTTTCCGTAGTTGCCCAATGTCTTTGCTACAAGTGATTACGGAATTAAAATTAACAAACTCCGCGTGGATGGTTACACCATCCATACTATTCGGCAATGGATGACAGTTGTTGCGGATAAACTCATGGCAAGAGAAATGTTCAAGTCGCTGGTACCATCTTGTCGCAACGCGTAAATTTCGGTAAGATTCAGCAACTTGAGACAACAGGATGCGCGTCCAAAGCGCTCAAAGTGCACGTCCACAAAATATCCACTTTGAAGGTTTCACTGCGTGGTGCTTCTTGCTTTGTTCGTTCTCACGAAACCAATTCTTTTAAGATAACGCAATGTAAATTTAGCAAAGATAGCTTCTTTTTTTGAGGCTCTCTTAATTTGCGGGCTAGCCTGACCGTCGCGATCAGAGCTTCACTTTAATGTTAAATGCTAGATCAGGCCCAATATCGTACAAATGATGCAATTTCGTCCGTTCAAAGGTTCCTCCTTTCAATTTCAGCACAGGCTATTGAAAGCTATTTCTGTCGTTCTGCTCCGCTGCCTATCGATTTAATCGTCTCCATCGCATCGTTTTTGGCAATACTCTCATTAAGCGATAGATTATGAAGTGCGGGACAGCTCAATCGATAAGTGTTTCAAAGTTGTTTTCAAGACAATGTCCTCTAATCGCTGGTGTGGACAAACACCAACAGACCACGATACATTTTGACAATTTCAGGGTCCGAATAGAGCCATATATATAATGCTAATAAGTATATTATATAAATATATATTATATTATATATATATATATATATATATACGTGTGTGTGGTGTGCGTTTTTTTAATCGGATGGTTTAATAAACACTGGTTGTTAGAAATAAGCGTGACTTTGTTATTTATCATCTTCCGAAATATATTTCTTATCTGGCGCACTAAGCGCTTGCTTTCTAGACTGTCCTGGTCTTGGGATAGACGCAACACCCGTTGCGAGTACAGGAGGTTTGAATTCCTGTTACACTTCACATATTCCTTCAGCGTTTCGTCAACCGTCTGCATTTTCTAGACATATAACCCGAATCACATTTATCGCACAGAGTAAGTGAGGCAACACCCACCAAACTTTGTGATTAACTGATAGAATAGTCTAAGCTATTCTTCTTCGGAAAAGTCAAGGCTACGCGCCGTAGTTTGGATGACAAATATAAAGCGCCAGCGTATTTGTTTTTCATTTTTCATTATTCACAAACACGCAATACGTACTAGGCACCCACAGGTAATACAAAAATGATTTCGTAAGTTTTGAGTAGGCCGTTCGAACGAATTCGTCTTGATAAAGGCATGTAGCCCAAATATCCCGTCAATCTCTCCATTCTCCTGCTGATTCTGCGGGGAATAAGGCTGTTTATACTGTGCCGGCAAAACAATGGAAACTAATTTCAAATAGTAAATTTACCTCCCAGTAAAGTTACATATTTTTCCAAGTGCACAATACGTGCATGCTAGGCTTCGTCCGGGGATCAAATCCAGCGTGGTTACGGTTCCCCCGTAGCCGGCTGGGGTTCCCCGCGCGTTGACTTGCCTGTTGGTAGATGGGTCCATGTCGCCTATGTATGCATACAGCGTCGAGCACAAGTAGCTGCCTGACATTGCGGCACCTGTTAGCGATTGTAATGGCATCTACCAGCTGTTGCCTGGTAACTCGCTGGGCATGGTGGGATTTCATATTCGTTTTTGGATTGCCGTGCCGAACATATGTTGTGATGCATCTACTGAGTAATGTGTTCGTCAATCCGGCGCAATGGCAGTTCGGGTGGAGGGCAGGCTCCGAAAGGGCGCTTGTCACTGTGTAGTACGTTGGATTGTTTGAGAAGGCGTGTGTCACGAGCCGGGTTGTTTTCCATAAGCGGGGACCGTGTGACGGACTCTGGTAGGTAATTAACTCTATTAACTTAATTAAGATAATTAACCTCAGCTGATGCCCTGGCGACGCCTCAGCTGTTGCCCTGGCGACGCCTCAGCTGGTGCCCTGGCGACGCCTCAGCTGGTGCCCTGGGCGACGCCTCAGCTGGTCCCTGGCTACGCCTCAGCTGGTGCCCTAGCGACGGCCTCAGCTGGTGCCACCTGGCGACGCTGGCTTGGCCGCTGACCTAACCTGGGCTCCTGAAGATTGATCAGATGACCTTTCACCGGCCGTGTAGGTCCTGAGACATGGTATTCGTGAAGTACAGCTTGTGGGCTGAAATGTCTGCAGTAGCAGCAGTACGGCTTCGGGCAGTTTGGTGATATCTCCGCTCATGTCTTGATCGACTGACTGAACAAGGTAACTGTTAATGGCCAACATTTTGTTACACTCTGCAACTCTCAAAGCGCAAGTTTCCATGATGACCAATGTCTTAACAACCTGTTCGCACAATTTATAATAAGCCACTTTTGTATCCGTGTTTTGATAAAGGCATATTTTGTTATACTTAATCCTTCCTTTTTAATCTTTGTGTTCTTGTCGTAGATCTGTATCTTTGTATGGTAAGCTGATGGAACATAAAACGTCCCAATGTGCGTGCAGTTTACTTGGACTCTTCTCGCAATGGGGTTTTGTTCTTCTATAAACAAACACAGCCCAGAGAGTAGGCACTTTATCCGGCAAGATCAAACTACATCTCGAAAGTTATAAGCAACGAAGCCGCTGCGATCTTTAGCGACATGGTGTTTTAGAGAGAGAGAGATAGAGTAGAGAGAGAGAGAGAGAGAGAGAGAGAGAGAGAGAGAGAGAAGAGAGAGTAGAGAGAGAAGAGAGAGAGAGAGAGAGAGAGAGAGGAGAGAGAGATAGAGAGAGAGAGAGAGAGCTAGGAGGGGGAGTGGGGGGAGGGAGAGAACAAACAAGACGAACAGAACAGACAGAGAGACAGAGGAGTTGGGGGTGGAGGGAGAGAGAAATATGTGCATATATATTCAAGTGTGCACTCATAAATATACGCGAGAGCATGGTTAAGGACGCCGCTGGTCTGTGTGCCTCCCCTCTCACGTGATGACGCTGCTCGAGCAGGGGCGGACGTGAGCGGTCCGTCAGGGCTGGTCTGTGTGCCTCCCCTCTCACGTGATGGCGATGCTCGGGCAGGGGCGTGGGCGGGTGTGTGCGGTCGGCCAGAGTTGGTCTGTGTGTCTCCTCTCTCACGTGATGGACGCTGCTCGAGCAGGGGGGCGGGCGTGTGCGGTCCGCCAGAGTTGGTCTGTGTGTCTCCTCTCTCACGTGATGGCGCTGCTCGGGCAGGGGCATGGGCGGACACGTGCGGTCCGTCAGGGCTGGTATGCGGCCAAATCTGCGAGTCGGCCGGAGCCAACAGCAGCTGCTCGTGCGTGCCCGGCTGGGCGCTCGCCGCCGACAAGCAGACGTGCGCAGGTGGGCTGCGTGGAGAACACGGAGGGTGTGGGGGGTGTGGAGCTCAGCGGTGTGTATGGTGAGAATGTGGAGCTGCTGGGGGTCAGGAGGTCCTGTGGGAAATTTCCGCAGCTATAAGTTCTCTTGAAAGTTCGTAAAAATGTATTTCAGGCTTGTGCTCGTGCCGATGCATGAAAACTGGCGTGCCAGTTTCCTATTCCAACAACGATTTTATGTCATACTGTATGTTATGATTTTTTTCTGCAAGCATGTTTTCGATTAAGTGACTTTAAAAGTACGTTGATGTCCGACGCATGTTGCGATCCATTCGCTATCCCGAGGCATCGCAAACGAGCTATCACGGTTTGGAACGTCCAGCATAATCTGTTACATGGCAGACTGTGAACCCACCGTTATGACAAAATACGTCTTCATGTAGCACTGAAATCCAGTTGCTTAATGTGCTTTGTTCTCTTTGAAGCCGCAATCTGGCAGCAGGTTTCACCATGCAACTATGCAACTCAGTGTGATGGCAACGCGCTTCCATATGCTACAGTTTCTAAGAAGGCGCTTTGCTACAAAGTGGAAACGAATTTCTTTGACGAACATCCTGCCAAGGCAGACTTCAACGAGACGGTGCGGGGCTGCGAAAAGTCTTGCAAAGAGAAGAAGGCGCATTATAGCGCCCAGGGCCGGTAAGTGTTCGCTCCTATCGGTATCAATATTGAAGCTTGGAGCTGCTGTCGAACTGGCAAACCAGTGTAAATACGTAGGATGTGGGGCACAAGGGAGGGCGTGACTGCCGGATGTTTCACGTTTACATTGCAAAGGCTCCGCTCGGCTGATATTTATGTTGACGTTCCATACGTGATCCGCCGATATCCAATTCACATTTTTCTACCAACAGGCTGGGCTGTCGCTGTCTGGACTTCTTCGAGGTGGTCGCTTCTCTGGACGTGCTTACCTTACAGCCGAAGAGAGCATGCGACCGCCTGCGGGAATCCAGCTGGCGCGTGCGCTTCTTGGCCGACCCGGCCGTGGCAGACCGCGTCCGTGGCGCCCGCCCAGCGGCCGGCCGCCGCACCAGCCAGCCCGGCCGTACCGCAGCGACCGGGCGGCGTCCGTTCCAACACCTTCCGCTGGGGGGTGAGCCTGTCGCGCGACATGGACAGGCTGCGTGGCGATACCACCATGGGCCGACGCAGGGAGATGAGCCAGCACGGCCTAAGCCACCACAACCACCAGCAGCGCGGCGGCACGCCGCACCCGGCCGCCCGGTCGACCGGCGCGCTCCTGGCGGCGGCCGCCGCAGGCTTGGCTGCCAGTTGGCTGGCGGCGGTGTAGGTGGCGCTGGCGTCGGGGCGCGCTGGTTGTGCAGTCCACAGGACTCTGGAATGTGATGTCTGGAATTGGAAAAGGTGCAGTATGGCGTGTGGAGATTTCCACCGCATAGGGGCAGTAAGGTTGGGGCTTCGTGTTCGTCACGGGGAACAGAGCCGAGATGCTCCAACTTTACCGGATATAACATTGCGCCTTATTGGCGTTGCTCGCAAAAACGCTCCAAAATATGCGGTGTCCTAAAGCGATGACTCCTGGTGAAGACAGCGCCAAGAAGGACTGAGTGAAGGCGTCATGTGGATGTAGATAAGGGCGGACGAATGAGACGCAAACGGGGATAGAGCACCTTTCAAACCTAGAATGGCAAAGGAAATGTAGATAAATGCGATCGCACCAGTCCCACTGCGCTGAATTTCAGAGAACAGTAGCAATATCTGCAGCATTTTGAGGAGAGACGGCTGCGGCCGGCGACGAGTCTTGGAAGGCCTCATCATGCGCTTCATTCACAGGTCAGGAGAAGCTAGGATTCTACAATTTGCAAACAGTACTTTTTTACTACGATGAGTAGATTTCGAGATTGGACTCATCCACGCGCTCTGAGCAGTGTGGAATCGGTAGGCCATTTCTCATGAGAAAGCAATTTTAGCATCATCGCATCAGAAGACGTTCGCTCAGACAGCCTGGCAACATCGATTTTTCACGACATTCTCCACTCGTGATGGATCCTACGTCCCAGAGGTGGATGTGGAGCGTGGAACACGCTCTCAGTCCTTTCGGTCTTTGCGGAGAATGTCTTCTGTCCTGTCAAATGCGTGTCTTATCAGCTAGCGGGATAAAGAGATTAAATCAGAGCATCTTTCGCCTTTAGATCCTCGTATTTGACAAAGCACATCACATTTCAAAACGCAACACACGGCGCCCCTTCCCCCCCCCCCCCCCCCTCTAGGGAGAAGATCAGGACGATGTTGTTCGGATCTACAAATGTTGCTTTGTAGATGGGCTGCCAAACGGGCTTCTGCTCTGGTAATCCTAAACGTCCCCCTCCCCCTCTCCTCCCCCACTCTGAAGAAAAATATGTGTGCAACGCCGCCAGACCCCGCAGACAATAAACTCAGCGCTTGAATAAACGGGCTGGGAAGATATCAACCTGGCATGTAGCATTTTTGCACGCGTGTATGATTGTGTTTCTGGATACGACGCGTATAATCACGGACCTAATACAAAAAATCGCAGTCAGCACAACAGTGAGGTGTTGTACACGTAGCACCTACGCTTCCTAAATCATTTTGCCCATTTGCATATCCCTATTGTTTTATTTTCTTTGTTGCTGTGTTGTCTATAAATGCACACCAACAGTTCATTAACATATGCCGGCAAATGGTCGTCCATGTATCAGGAAGCAGCCCACGAAGGTAGCGTGCTGCACTGCGTCGGCGTCAGGGGCTGCTGCGACGGTCTGGTGTGATGCACTGATGTCACGCACACAATACAAACGTCGTGTCTCGAGCTGCGGTCTTGCCGACATAACGCATCACCTGACCCCTCAAGGAGGCTCTCCACCCATCCCGAATGCCGGCTGAATTGTCTCGAGGTCATGAGCCCTGGCTCAGCCATCGTGTGGAGCGTACGTGAAGAATCCCCGGCAACCACGCACTTTATGGGTCTCTACGCAGCCTTCAAGAGCAAGAGCGCTGATGCAGTTGAAGAGCAGTGTCGCTGTGGGACGCAATATAGCGGTGAAATAATGTGACATTCGAGTCCAATTCGCAGACCTAGCACAATCCAAACCAAAGCCAGGCAACCTTGCGAGGTTTGAAAGCCGGCTCTAATAGCATGATCAACTGAAGCACGACGCACGCGAGTACGTGTATTATTGTTGCGTTATATATGAGGCAGCCACAACAGCTAACATTCGTTCACTCCCATGTCATCCTACAACAGACTTGACTCGTAGTTCGCGTTCGCGCACAGTGACCCTGGGGTCCGGGAGACGTGTGTCGTGGGCTGCTTGGGGCTGGAAGACGGTACGCTGCGGGCTGCCCGGAGAGAAGCCCACAGCACGACAGCAGCAGGCACAGCAAGACATTAACTGCCACAGCAGGACACTAACAGCTACAGCGTGACAGCAGCATTGATGGACACGGTCCTGCAGTGACGAGAAACCGTTTATTCGTAATATAAAGCGGCTGCACTACTGCCCAAAACCGTGGACGTGCTTGACGCATCCCATGCTTTCCGCGCGCTCACACGAAGGTCAACACCGGCCATCAATCACCGCAGCCGTGGACTGAAACGCAGCAAATCGGAGAGACTATCCGGCCACACCAAACTCGGAAGCAATGCTCAGTGAGCCGACGCCTCCCATCACCGTCGGTGGCCTCGCTTGGTGACCATGGCAACGCTCATCACGGAAGCCTTACCAACGCGGGTACGATCTGGGCAGGCGCTACGACACATCTAGACTTCTGAGCGCCGTTCGAACGACTCTAAGCCGGCGCACGGCGGGCACCGAGACTGCACTACGTTGGCGTCCGGCCGCATGGAGCCTGCACCTCCCCTGCGCCTCACACGAACACGACCCACGGGGAACTAAGCTCACCGACGCGCTGCTCCAAGAGCCCTCGCGCAGCCGCGCCGCGCCCGCTACACTAGCGCCGCTGAGCGCCCTGACGGCGGCGGCGCGACTCAGACGGGAATCTCGTAGTCTTCGAGCGGGTCCCACTTCTTCTTCTCGCCCAGTGCTGGGATGCGGATGATGCCACCCTGGCCGGGCAGCATGGTGAGCCCCTGCGAGAGGAACTCGTCCACCTCGCGCGCCACCTGGCGGCCCTCCGAGATGGCCCACACGATGAGCGACTGGCCGCGCCGACAGTCTGCGGGGGGGGGGGGGGGGGTCAGGGGCCATCCCGCCGGCGGAGAACCTGCGCGAGACGTCCGCACAACCGCACGTGCTGGTGGCTAGTGACGCGCCCGTAGTGATCCGTGTGAAGGCAAGTGGGGACGGGGAATGTTGAAAGGGACGTGAGGAGGGTCTCAACGAGCGATGTGGAGGCCGGAGGTCGCAATCCGGGGTACGCGAAGCGATCCCCGCAGTTTGGTGCCAATAACGTTAAACCAGCTGTTTAAAGTGCACCTTTTGCCCAATCACTGACTAACCACGGAGCGCGAGGCACATCATCAGGAGTGGCGACCGCCGATACAGTTTCCATAACCATATCCATGACTGGAGACCGCATGACTGCTAAAGGCGGTCACACAGACACCACATCCGAGCCTCAGAGCCCAGTCCATGCTGGCTTCCTGCGGGAGTCAAGCGCACAGCACCCATCTGTGCCGGCATCTTGGACTAACTCAGCCACGCGGAGGATCGCGACGCGTTCACTTCGACTCTGAGGGCGCCATGACCAAAGCACTCGCCTTCAAACTGGGCGCACAAGCACGGCGCTGGCCGCGCGGCTCGGCACGCCCAGTCGTCTCACCTCCGGCGGCGAACACGCCCGGCACGCTGGTGCAGTACTTTCCGTCGGGCGTGCGGATGTTGGAGCGGCCGTCCTGCTCCA